CAACTGCTTTGGGGAACCAGCTCAGCAGTTCCGGTCAGTAGGAGGGATGCAGGCCCAGGCCTAAACCAGAGCCAGGGGACAGCAGTGTCTTGTCAGGTGGAAACCTTCTGGTCTCCTATACAGATTGGAGCCAAGTGGTGCTGAGCAGGATCCATCAGGAGGCTGTATGTGCAGAGCACATGGGACTCCAGCAGAGAAGGGCCCTGGCTATATCACTAGTGCGCTTACCCACCACTTCCTCTCACCTGTGGCCAACCAAGGTGCTAAGCACTCAGCCAGAAGATGCAGAGGAAGCTTGTCAGCCATTGTGGGTGTGTCTATATGATACACTAAATGCATAGTAGACTAATTCTACTGCACATCCATGCATCACGGCAAAAGCTGTGTTAATGCAGAATAGAATTAGTCTACTGCACGTTAGTGTCACTTGTTTCCTTCTACGACCAGGCAACTCGCTACCTGGATAAGAGCGAGGTTGACATTGTAAACCAGACTTCCAAAAGGCCTTTGATCTGGTATCCCATGATGTTCTCATGGGAAAACTGGAGGATTGTGGGCTTAACTGCTCAACAGTCAGGTGGGTAGGAAGCTGGCTGCAGGGTAGGATCCAGAGATTTCTAATCCAGAGATTTCTAATGTGTTGTCCTAGCGAGAAGTGGCCAGTGGTGTCCCTCTGGGGTCCGTGCTTGGTCCAGTGCTTTTCAACATCTTTATCAAAGATTTGGATGTGGGGGTGAAGAGCGCAATGGCCAAGTCCATGGATGACACCAAGTTATGGGGGAGCGTGGTCACGCTTGAAAATAGGCTGCAGATACAGGCGGACCTAGACAGGCTGGCAAGTTGGGCGGATTGGAACCAGATGAAGTTCAATGTCGAGAAGTGTAAAGTGCTCCATCTGGGGATGAACAATCCTCAACGTACTTACAGGCTTGGTGGCACCAAACTGACTAGTACCACAACTGAAAGGAACCTAGGGGTAATAATAGACCAGGGGTTGTCAACCACGGGTATGTGTACCCCTGGGGGTACTTTGAAAGGCACTGGGGGGTACATGGGGGCAGGTGGGGATGGAGTGCCACCACCTCACGCCGCTGCCTCACAGGAGTTGGGCCGGGGCAGGGCAAGAGCAGGGTCGTACAGATCCTACACTGCCGCTGCTCTGCCGCACTTCAACAAGGATGTGGAAAAGCTTGAGAGGGTCCAGAGAAGAGCCACCCATATGATCAGAGACTTGCAAGACAAGCCATACGAGGAGAGGCTGAGGGACTTGGGTTTCTTCAACCTAAAGAATAGAAAGCTGAGAGGGGATTTGGTAGCAGCTTACCACTACATCAGGGGAATGCATCAAGGGCTCAGCAAACAACTGTTCACCAGAGCATCCTTGGGGAAAACCAGGAATAATGGCCACAAAGTCCTGGAAGACTGTTTCAGGTTTAACACTAGGAAAAACTTCTTCACAGTCAGGGTGTCCAGACTGTGGAATAAGCTCCCTCCAGAGGTGGTACAGTCACCTACCCTTCAAGAGGAGATTGGACGGTCACCTTGCTGGGATCACCCGACCCCAGTTGTCTTTCCTGTCTAGTGCAGGGGCTGGACCCCATAATCTTGCAAGGTCCCTTCCAGCCCCTAACAATTTATAAATCTATGAATCTATCTATGAAAGGCGTGTGCTGGCATGACTGTGCAGTAGTGCCAATTACTGCACATTTAGTTAGTACCTGTTATTACTGTGATGCTCAGAAAAAGCTGAAACAAAACCTTTTGGGCTGAGCTGTTCAGGGACAATTCATTAGCACTGGATATTGGCCTGACTTCTGTGGCAGCATTTGGGTTTAAGTGCCTTCACTAGAGGCTTGTCTGGGGTAGATCAAGGGAAAGGAGGGCTGTGGTTCAAGGTCATTAAAAAGTCATTGAGGGACAGGGTTGGCACCCAGAGGTCCAAAATGCTGTAGGGCCTGCAGGATGCGAGATGGTGGGTACACACGGAGTGACATGCCCAGGTCCTGGCCTAAGAGTTGAAGAAATATGTGATTCCACTCTGACTGAGCCAGGTCTGAGGCCTGCCCTGTGAGGGGTGCACTCAGACAGGCCCCAGAGAGGTCCAACGGGCACCCCTGCACTCGTGATAACCATGGCATTCAGAGAACCTGCAGTTCTCCCCCTGAGAAGCCTGAAAACAGTGTTTCATGTAAGAGTGGGAGTATAGCACTAGAGAGAACAGGATTGTGAAGGTCTCCCTTGCCTAGAAGCCTTGCCAGCCCAGCCCCAGAGCCGGGAGCCAGCCTGGCCTCCTCAGACACCCTCCCTCCCAGCACTGAAGCTGCCTGCCTCTTCCATCTGGCTCCTCCTGCCTGACGGCCATTCTGGGGTATGGGCAAGCCCAGGCCAAAGCCACCCTAAGGCAGGGCAACCCAGTCTCCACCTTGGCTGAGTCCAACTATTTTACCCACACCAGAGGCATATAGCAGGACAGCTCGTGCTTTTGCGCCTCCTCACCACACAAAGATGGCACCCAGGCTGCTGCCCCTGGTCACCCCCCTCAGATACACTACTGACCCAGGCCATCAGTCTAATTGGCCCCAACTATTACTGTACAGTGATTAAACCCCTCCTGCTCTGATGTCCTGCCTCTTGCAAAGAGCCTGGGATTGTGAGCCAGGGGATAGACCATGCTCAGACAGAGATCAAGGCAGGAGCTGGCTGCTCTGTGACTACCTCCCTGGTCTGCTCTATGTTGCATATGGGTGGCCAGCACCCTGACCTGCACACACAGGTGCTCAGCTGCCACAGAGGGAGCTTGCATGGGTAGGAGCGGCATGCCTCATGAGGCCTGGTGCTGGGCAGGGAACTGAGAGAGAACTCCTCTCTTCCTGCCTGGGGGCCGGGGAGGGCTGCTGGGTTGCACTCAGGGAGCTGAGCTGACAGAAGAGGCTAATTTGTTCCTTTTGTCACAGCAAAGTCCTATAAATAAACCACGGCCCTAGGGGGCCTGGCTGTGCCTGAACCCAGGCCCCTGGAGAGCATGGGGCTGGCAGTGCTGTCTCCTAGGTCTCCCAAGGACAGCCTGGGCAGGAGATGCAGCAGGGGGGGAAGGAAGCAAAGCAGAGGCAGCAGCAGGAGGAGGGTGGAGAGGGAGGGAGGGAGAGAGATAAGGGGCATCTAGAACCAGCCTTGTGGGTAGGCTTCGCCATGGGCTTTCATGGATGTAGGGAGGATCTTGCCCTGAGAACCACCAGGTTCCAGTGGCACTGCCCCTCCCTGGCCTGGGTCTGCAGGCAGCTCGAGGTGGGTGGGCCCAGCTCACAGGCACTTCTCCTCCAGCTTCTGGGCTGATGCTGCGCCTGCCCACACCACACACATGCTCATTCCCCATCCCAGAGCTAGTTCTGATCTAGTGCTCACAATGGTGGTGCCCTCCTGCGGTGTATCCCATTTTGCACCAGAACAAACAAAGGCCGGGAAATACTGGCCTGGCAAATCAGACACTTATACCAGGCGGGGAGACGTGGCTGCACCTTTGGACCAGTGAGGAAGTTCCCATATTTACCACAAGATGGCAGGTCTAGAGCAACGGTTTATTATTTATGATGATTAATCGCCTGCATAGTTTGATTGCTTAGATTCCACAGTCAGGATCCCTTGGTGCTACAGGCTGTACATAAAATAGGAACCTGTCCCTGCCCCAAAGCTCTTACAACTGAAGTGAGAGGTGGATGAACTGCCTGCCGCAGAACTCGGCAATGCACCTTGCAACTCTCTGAGGCAAGATGCAGTCTTGCCCCTGGGGCTTGCAGTCTTCATGAGCTGCAGTTTCCTATCATGGGTGACATGAGCCTCTACTTCAATGGGGGCCAGCCCGTTTGGCAAGCCTGCCACAAATTAGCCCTGTGCCCTTCTGGAGTGCCACTAGTCTGATTCCCTTCCCCTGCCCCATCTGCTGCTCTGTTTTCTGCTCCCTGCCCCATCTGCTGCTGTGCTGCCTCCCCTCTCCCTGATCTGGTGCATGTTACACACACACACAAGCTTCCCAGTCACTTGTGGCACTCATACTGCCAGTTGGCCACCTTGCTGTACCTAATGCAAACAAAGTGTGAAGCTGGGAGGCTGCCAAGGTACACTGTGTTCCCTTGGGTCACTATTCCCTGCCCTGAAGTCTAGACAGAGTAAGCTCTTCAAGGGAGAACTTCCATCCACCCACCCCTCTTCCAGATGCCTCCTGCCTTACCCCTCTATCTCAGTGCTTTACCTGCCCCGTGCACTGTCTGCTCAGCACTATGCTTCCACTCACAGGGCCTGAAAATGACCTGCTCCTTGTATCTTTGGGGCAGAGCAGGGACCCCAGAACACTGCTCCCATCTCTGCTGCTGGCAGACCTCTGCCTAGCCACCAGGACCTTGGTCTTAATCCCTGTACCTCAGTTCCCCCAGCTGTTAAATGGGGATAATACTCCAGTCCTTCACAGGTACAGTTAAAGACATGGCCGCACTCATCTTACAGGATGTCGTAGGATCTAGGGCTGGCTCCTCTCTGTTTTGCAGTCCTCTACTCTGCACCCCCTGCAACAGCCAGCGCTCAATGGGAAAGTCTCTGCTCCCCCTCCCTCGTGTTGGGTGGCAGTGACTGCTTGAAACCAGGTGCCCCTGGATGCAATGACTATCCATTGCACCTGCACAGACCTCTGTCTTGCTAGGCACTGTGTGAACATGATAGAGACAGTCCTGGCTCCAAAGTCCTGGTTTCCAATGTCAATAGATGCAGGCAGAAGAAGCTGTGATCACCTGCCCAGATTTTACATAAGCAAACCTGAGGCCTGGAGGGGAAGAGGGGACTTGCCCAAGTCTACACACACTGTCTGTGGCAGAGACAGGGACTGAAACCTATGCTCTGCTCTTTGGCCTCAGTTACCTCACCCTCCTTCTCCCTCTTCCCTGCAGGTGTTACACATGGGACTGAAATATGTATCCAGACAAGAACCAAAGCAACACATCACCAGGCACAGGGTGACAGGTTTAACCTTTATTTAGGCACTTGACTCCAGAGACAATGAACACACAGGAGGGAGCAGACACTGGGTGACAGACTAGGGCTGGGTCCTGTCCACAGGTGACTTGGAGCTGGTGTGTGTGTGTGTGTTGTGGGGGGGAGGGCACAAAGGGTCTGGCTCTGGGTGCACCTCATGGAGCTGGTGGTCATTGGGGAAGGTAATCTCCATCTTTTCTGCTCCACCTGTGCAGATATACAAGCCAATGGACTTGCTATCACCACAACAATCCACAGCTATCACCATAACACCTCCAGGCCAGGCCTAGACACCAAGGGAGCTCTGTGGGGCTCATTGAAGCAAGAGACAAGCAGACAAGCTGCTGTAACCCTTTTTCCATCACTCCAATAACCCATGGGAGGAAAAATGGACTGAGATTCGACCATGTCTTGTCCCTGTCTCAAGCCCTGAAGGAGATCTGTAAAGTGATGGACAGAGACAGGCTGAAAATGTTTGAAGGTGAAGAAGAATTTGAAGTTTTCTGCTGCTTCTCCCCATATAAATCCAGGCTCTGTCTAGCCTGAATAGCTGCCCTAACGGGAGAACCCATGAAATGACATCACAAGGAAGGTGAGTAATGAGAAGGCGGAAGGAGCCAATTCTTATCACAGGGGTTGAACTCCAATGACTAATTAACATCCGGGAGAAAGGAGGCTTTTGTTAAAGACCAGCAGCCCCAGGCCCAGCCCTTCATATCAGGCTTGAGCATTTACCAACTCCCTAAAACAAACCAATGGAGGCAGACTGGACCTTTCTGATGTTTTACAGTTTGAAACAAGCAGGGAAATACTGCCTTTTACACACACCTCCTGCAACCAGGCAAATAAACCCTCTTTGCAAGCCCCTGCCAGGCCCCCTAGGCAGGGAGGGCAGGCCCCTCAGGTACAGCACCACCCCCACTTTGCTGAGGGCACAAGTGCTGTAGAAGGCACTGGCTGCGTGTTGCCTGCACGTTCTAGATGTGCTTGCCTTGCAGGCTCTGCATTGAGGCACCAGCATGCCCAAGCTGGCTTTAAACCTACCAGTGCAGGGACCTGTGCAGGTCCAGAGCTCAGTGTGGGCTGCCAAACCCACCCAAGAGCACCTAGTACCTTCTCCCATGCCCCTTCTGTCCCCCCAACAGTTTCTTACTCACTGAGCCCTGAAGGATGGACACACCTTGCAGCCCCCTTTTAGTGAAAAGCTTTTACTCATGTCCAGGCATACACACACCCTCCTAAACACACATACAGCAGTTTGCTTTGCTCTCCAAGGCCTCCACACTTGATCCTTAGTTTCCCGGAGGGAGGGAGCAAGCCATTTATCTACCTTCATTTAAGTGCCAAATCAGGCAACTTCCTGAGCTTCCCAAACAAACTCAAGTGCTGAAACCCCCAGCACTGCCCCCTGCCCCCTTTGCCCCCAGAAACATGGTGCTACCTAGCCAGCTCAGGTGTAGAAGGCAGTGGGGAGACTTCCACTGATTACCCTGGGCTGGGGCCCAGCTCTGTAACCCTTAGCCCCATGTCTGAACCCCCATCCCCAAAGCCTCACCCTCCCTGGCTTAGAGGCCCCTCTCACATTTTACAGGTCACAAGGGAGCCCTCTGCAATGCCAGCCCTATGTGTTCAACTCCCACCACATTCACCAGCCTCCCACCCAGCACATGGGACTGCTCTGCAGGTCACAGGATGCTGGAGCTCACATGCCCCAGCAAAACCTAGCACTAGAGAGGAGTGCTGGAGCCCATACCCTCCCCAGTGCTGCAGGCTGAATGCCCCTGTCCCTGTCCGGGCATGGCTGGCCTCACGGAGTTAGGTGGTTGCAGTCACAAAGAAGACCATCTTGGAGGAGTACACCAGGTCCACAATGTAGGCGATGAGGTTGAAGTAGGTGAGAAAGGTCACACCCAGTTTGCTGTTCCATTGACAGTCGCTGTTGCAGGGGTTTGGCCTGGACACACCCTTGAAGCTGTAGTAGGGCCAGATGACTGCTGTGGTCAGGTACATCAGCACAGCCAGGGCATTGTAACCTACCAGGACTTTCTCCAGGGGGAAGGGGATGTAGGCAAGACACTGGCCAATGGTGAGGATGATAATGAGCAGTGTGAGGATGAAGCAGATGCAGTAGACTGCCATGGACCACTGCAGACCGGGCAAATGATAGTACGAATGGCCATTGTCCACAAGGGAGAAGATCAGACAGGCCACGTAGGCTTCAAATACCTTCAGGAGGCCAGGCACTGTGGAGAGGAAGCTGCTGACATCTCCAGGCCGAGCCCTAGTCAGGCCCACCTCAATGGCGTAGGCGATGAAGCAGAGACAGGACATGGCGGTAGCTGCAGCCTGTCGAGCACAGACGCTGGTGGAGCATGTGCCATGGATGTAGACGGAGGGGTACACAATGGATGAGGTGAAGATCATGAGCGCCGCCAGCATGGAGAAGGCGGAGGTGAAGTCGTCCCAGGAGAGTGGGAGCCTGGGGAACAGCTCGGTCAGCTCCAGCACTATGATGAGCACTGTCACAGCAAAGCAAAAGCACCAGCTGAACATGCACCAGGTCCCATAGGAGCCTGAGAAGGCCTTGGCATCGGCCACCAGGCTGAAGGTCGTGCAGGACAAGAAGATCTCAAAGAACCGGGTGATCCCAACTGGGGAGATCAAAGAGCGGGCATTCATCCCAGTGACTGGCATGGTGCTCTGGGCACAGGAGAAGCCTAGCAGCCGATTCCAGCCCCAGGTGTTGCTCCCTCCTGAATTTCACCACCGGGAGGCTGCAGTGGGTTCCGGGTCCTTTGCCTTGTTGCGTGGCCCTGGCTGCACCCTGGCCTGCGTGATTCCTGAGCAGCTGGCACAGGTGCAGAAGGCTGCGTTGCTCGTAATGGAGTGTGTGGTGCTGATCGCTGGGTGGTTACGTGCCTGGTTCACCACCCCGCCCAGCTCCGTGTCAAAGGAGCTGAGTGCTGCCTGAGAGCTCTCTTATCTGGGCAGCAGGGTGGGACCGGTGGGACCCACCCAGGAGATGGAATCAGGAAATAATAGTAACGATCCTGTGCCCTGCCCCAGCCAACAGGGAGCAAGCCAGCAAGACACACCTTACAGCACCTGCCCCGCTCCCCTCCCAGCCCCTGTGCCCACCCAGCTCTGCCTTGCTGGTGCCCCTGAGCTGAGCTCTGCCACCCTCCCACTTGGTGCAGGACCCCCAGGAAGCCAGAGCTGCTTTAGCAGTGGCAGAGAGAGCTGTCAGGCCCAGCCCAGGATTCTCCAAGTTCAGCACAGGCTGGTTCAGCCACACAGCCTGGCCTGGGGCCCAGGCTGGGAGGCAGGTAGATCATTAATAGCAGGATGGTTAAAGGGTAACTGTGCCCATGGTGATGCTGCGCTTGGCTGGGTGGGAGCCCCAAGTGCCAGTGTGAGTAGGAGATGCCTGGGCTTGCCCTGCGCTGCCATGTGGAGCAGGGGAAGAGGCTCCTCTCTCCCCTGCCAGGCAGGGGCCCTCGTGCCTGAGTCTGGTGGGTATGGTGAGGGCAGGCCTGGCTCTGAGCTCCCCCTGGCTCTCAGCAAGCAGAAGTGGCTCTACTGGGGTCCTCAGTTACACCCCTGCTGAGCTAGGGTCAGTAAGGAGCAGATTTTTATTCCCCTTACCAAGGGGAAAGGGGGGGGGGGGCATGAAGGCCATGTGCTATGTGCCTCCCATGCCCGCCTGCCTCCCTCATTGAGCCGTGGTGAGGAGTGCAGGTGTCTGCTACCTGTGTGGGGCACTGGGAGGAACTACTTTATTGTCAGAGGCACGCAGGGAATGGAGGCCTCAGGTTGTAAGGGCAGGGGCTGCTCTTCCAGCTACATGTTCAGGGGGTGGGAAATGCTGCAAAGGGAGGTCCGGAGCCTGCGGCTGGAGCCACATGGGCATTGGAGCCCTCAAGGGCGGTGTGTGGAGGGCTGGATTGCTACAGCAGCTATGTGAAGCTCAGGGGAAGGAGGGTACACAGGAGACGCACTGTGGGGTGCAGGCTGAGAGGCTTTTACCAGGCAAGGTGCTTATCCTCTCCTTTATTGTCTCAGGGGTCTTCAGTCTCTGGTGCACCATCACAGTGCTCCTAGCACAGAGACAGGGCTGTAAGAGCATCAGGCCCTGGGAACTGCTAACTCCTTCATGCCTGCAGCTGTCAGGCCCTGGCCGCCTGAAGCAGCACCTGTAGCCTCAGCTAGATGGGGTATGAGGCCCAAACCAGGACCCCACTGACTTATAGTGAGTGGAGGAAACCTGCCCAAGCTGAACTGGGCTGAGCTGCTGAGGTTGGCCACCAACATGGGGCTTTGGTGGGTGGTTCTGTCAGCTGAGGGCACTGCAGGGTAGGAAGGAGGGCAGTTCAGGTGGGGCAGCAGGCAGTGATGGGCGGGGGGGCTTCCCAGGTTTACCTGGGATAGCCACAGCAAGCAAACGTGATGCTGCAGGGCTGGCTCCTGCCCCTGCCAGTGGGAAAGGCCAGGCAAGACCAGCCACCCATAGGGCTGGGGATAGGGAGCACTTCTACCTGCAGGCTGGCACTCAGTGACAAGTGGAGGCAGCTGCCCACTTCCCACCATGAAGCTCCATCTAGCTCTGTCACTGCAGCCTCCAAGCATCTTGCAGCTGGGACCTGACTGATCCTTGCTGTGGTCCTGGCAGCAGGGGAAGATTTGTCCCTTTAGTAGAGGGTAAAGGGCATAGTGACCTCTCAGGGGCACACACATGAGCTGAGGCAGAGCCCAGGTGTCCTGAGGCCTCGTCCCATGCCTTGCCACCTGCCCATTTTCCATTCTGGTTGCTAGAGATTCCCTTGGCAACAAAAAGTGGGGTGCAGGGCAGGAACTCAACAGGGTAGACATTTTTGGCCCATTTGTCTGAGCAGGTAGCACAGCCATAACCCTGAAGCATCCTCCCAGTGCCCTGTGCTGCACTTGAACCTTCAGGAGCCGGGATGCCTCTCTGAGCAGCTGGCAGGCTGGATTTACTACTCTACACCAGTGGGTGCCCAGCAGTGTGAGGGGCCTGTTCTGGTTGAAGCAGCTGCACAGGAAGAAAGGATGCAGCAAAGACACACCACAACTTGCAGGGCAGGGCCTCTTCCCCAGCCCAAGGCCACCAGTGCTGTGCCTTTCAGCATCTGCACTTGCCAGGGGAGGTTGGTGCAGGGACCCTGCCTTGGGGTCCCTGGGAACACCTTGAGGCAGATAGCACCAGCACCAGGGAGCTGCCCCCTTCCAGTCCTGGACCACATCCTGCACTCAGCTGCCTTCCCAGCCTGCAAATGCTGCTGAGGACACCCATGCCGTAGGTCCAGCATGCTTTGCTTTGCTCCACCTGGGCACTCAGTGCTGAGATGATAGAGCTAGAGCTGCTGGGGCAGCATCTGTGCCAGGCTGTGGGGGAGATGGGGTAGGGAGGGCTAGAGAGCCTTTTATCAGCATCCCAGACAGGAGAGGAGGCAGGGATAGCTCCTCCTGGCTGCATGACCACAAGATGAGTGATGCTCGGCTGTGGCTGAGGAGATCTGGCTCCTGCCTTGTGGCTCAGGAGCTGCCCCTTCTCTCGTCTGGACAGAGGTGCAGGTGCTGGGCCATCCTTGCTCAAGCCAGGCCTGAGGGCAGGGCGCTATGACAAGATGTCCAAGCCAGCCTTGCTGAGGGCATTACCTGGGACCAAACCAGGGGGACACCCTAGTGCTGACCACAGGAAGAGGCCTGATGCCCCCCACCAGCTCTGTCTGCAAAGCGTCTCAGCCCAGTGCTCCAGTCCTGGTCAAACCCCCAAGCCAGAAACTGGCCTGTGTTTTTGGGTGCTGTCTGGGGGCAGCCTCTGTTTGGAAGGAGACTCAGGAAGAAAGACAGGCCAGGCCAGGGTGAGGGTGGGTAGGGACATGGGGAATGACAGATGAGGCCCCATGAGGATGGTTTCCTGCTGCTGCCTCTTCTATGGGGCTGGACGGGTGCCAAGCCAAGGGTTCCAGGTTGATTTTTAATATGTGATCAAAGTCCCCAGGCAGAGTAAATCCCACAGCGCACTATACACAAGGGAGTGAATATACATACACTGCCCAGGGCTGGCTGAGGGAGGCTGCTGGGGATCACCTCAGGGACCCCTTTGGCTCTCCAGTTCCATGACAGTCATGCCCAGCTCAGTGAGTGCCACTCTCTTGGCATGGGGCAGCTGGCAGCTTCCCCCACTTCCTGTTCATTAGGATGGGACTTGGGCCCTCCACTCTGGCTAGCTCTAACCCTGACTTTCCCAACAAACCCTGCACCCTCATCCTCTAGGACCTTATAGAGGGGCTCTTCCACTGCATGGCAGAGGGCCGGCCCGATAACCCCAGGCATCCCGTATCCCACAGCAAGGAGGGTTGGCCCCTCAGACCAATAGTTTCCCCTTCCCCTTTCTCTCACATACAGGGTCTCCTATCCTTCCCAGTGAAGGCCTGGCTCTGTATCTCCCCTCAGCTGGTCCTACAGCCCCCAAGGGTCCAGCAGTCTCAGTGCAGTGCATGCATGGTGGGTTTTGCTCTTTCCTACTGAGGGAAGGGAAGACCAGTGCTCAGCTGCAGATCTAGGACTGCCCCAGCAAAGGAAGCAGTGTTTGGAGGTGGGCTGGCCTGACACTGCCCTGGGAAGGGCTGGACCTCCATGCCCACTGCTGCTGCTTGAGGCCCCTGAGACCTGTCCTCTGGTGGCCTGGGCATAGGGTGCTCAGACCTGCTGGCCCCACAGAGGCAATGGGAACTCTCCAGAACTGAGGAGACACTTGTTGTGGAGCAGAGGAGCACATGGTATCAGGGGCACAACACAAAAGTCACTGGCAGTTGGGGTGCAACTAGGACTAGCTTGGGGAAGTCCTAGTCAGGGGCAGCTGCAGAGTAGGGGGGAGAAAGGTGGAAGGGAGAAGGAGTGTCTGTGAGGCAGTGGTTGGCACAACAGTCCTGGCATCTCCGTGAGCTGCAGCTTGGCAGTGAGGTCTTGGCACATTGGCAGAAGTGGCACCAGGCCTGGCTCCAGAGGGCACATGAATGGACAAGATGGCTAGGGCACTGGGACATTGAGAAGGGAGAGATGGGGACTGTCCAGAGGCTGGGGGTGGCTCCCAGCAGGAAGTGGGTGTGCTCCTCCCTGGTGCAATCAGTCCATGTGCCCTGTACAGGAAGAGGTGCAGGGCCACAAGGGCAGGGACACCTTGCCCTCACTGCTCAGAGGTTGCTCTCCACCTCATCCTTCTCCTGCAGCCCATTGACAGGGCTGAGCGCCAGCCGGTTGCTCTCATTCAGCCGCCGCACACGGTAGCTCTCGTAATGCATGTTGTGGGTGATGTCCTTCAGGTCCTGCAGGTGGGATCTGGGCATAAGAGGCAGAGGGTGAAGGGATAGGCAGGCAGCTGGGCACAGCCCTGCAAACGGAGTGCAGTGGGAGAGGTCCATGCACTGACCATGCATGGCAGCGCCACCCTTGTGTCACCGGTGGGGGCAGGTCCTCCTAGCCACATGAGGGGCCCCACAGCTGGCCATGGAAGGCTGGTCCCAGCTCTCACCTACACTGCCCTCTCCTGTAGCAGCATCTGTGCCCCAGCAGTATCTGCCAAATGGATCCATCAGGGGCTGCTCCCTCCCCACCCACTGCCGCCTTCTCCTGTTCCCACACTGCCCCTGGACTTCCTCCAACCCACACAGGAAGCAGAGATCCTTGCCAAGACAGTCTCCCAGGTTTCCACCCCACCACGCTGGGTGCAGGGCTCACCGGATAAGCAGGTCCCGCAGCATGGGGAATTCACAGTGGGATGGGTTCTCCACTGAAAAACAAGATGCAGAGAGCAGCTGGGACCCAGCCATCGGTGCAACCCTGTGCCCCAGCCACTGCATGCTAGGGCAGAGGCCACAGGACTCAGAGGTGCAGGGAATGCCGATGAGCAGTATCCCCTGCCAGCCCCTCCCCACCCTGCCCTTTCACACAGCACCTGGGGCTCTTCCTTGGGGGACCAGACCCTGCCCTAGTCAGGGGGGATTCCCTGAGGTGGGTGACCAGAACTCATCCTGGAAACCTGCAAGGACAGAGTTGAGCACTAGGGGGCAGGAGACTCCAGGTTACTCCCCTGGCAGGCAGAGGTGGGGTGAGGGGTGAATCTCTGTAAAGCAGCTTCCTCTCCTGATTAAGTCAGGCCAAACTGGGGCCTCTTGTGCATGGAGAGAGCTCAGATGTGCACGTGGGTAAACATGAGTAGGGCTCCAGGGGCAGGCACTGAGCAAGGATCACAGCAAAGGGTCCCCAGCAACACCCCAGCCCTGGGAGGTGCTAAGACGAGGGGCCCACTGGGAACAGGCTGGGCCTGGGGCTCTACCTATACACGTGAAGCTGTGCGTGCCAGGGGAGGTCTGGCACATCACTGCAGGGACTACCTGGGGGTGTCTGGGTTGAGAGGTCAGTGGGTGAGAGGGAGTGATCCAGCTATGTGCAGGCAGACACACGTGGGACCAAAGCTGTGCACATGTCAGCACACTCATGGAGCTCTGTAGGTGACAAAGAAGAGACCTGGAGGTGCACAGGCCTACGTTAGTGTGCTGCAGGCAGGCTCAGTGTGTGCCTAGCTGTTTGCATGCATACGCAGTGCATGGTGTATACCATACCTGAGGGCTCCAGCTGCTTCCTGTGCAGCCATCCCAGCCCCACCCCTGTATGCTGGGATGCAGCCTCTGGCATGGAGTGCAGGCAGGTGGCAGCCAGGAGCTGTCATCAGGCCCTCTCCTGATGGATGTACCTGGGAGTGCCTTGGCTGGGGAGCTCCAAGGGCCTTGGATAAACGAAGAGGCCCTGGGTAGCAGTCTCCAGGGAGAGGCTTCCCAGGCCCTGGCTGACCTGCGGCACCAGCTAGGCATGGGGGAAGATAATGGAGAGGAAACGGGCTCTAGGCTAGGGTGCAGGCAGTGGCTGTGGGTCCAGCCTGGGCGTGAGGCTTGGGAGCTGGGGAAGGTCCTGGCTCCAAGGGCCTGTCTTGCTGCACTTCCCTAGTGCTGCCAGGCTCTGAGTGGCAGGTTTACTGTGGCGGGGATGTGGGGCTGGAGCAGCTGTCCATGTGGAATGCCTGCTTAGAGGGGAGCCTCTGCAGGTGCATGGCCCATCCTGGGATGAGAGCAAGAGGCGAAGGGAGCTGGACGAAGCCCAGCTCCACCACACAGAGGGCCAGCGCTGACTGGTACCCAGGGAGCCTTGTAGTGTCACCCAAGGAGGGGGGATCAGCACAGGGACCCTCACTCTACATGGAAGAAACCCCCAGGACCTTGTGAGGAGCTAGGCCTTAACTGTGGGATCCTGGGACTGGCTGCAAGTGGAGCACTGCTTCAATAACTGGTTGCCCAGGGCTCTGAGGATCCACTGGCCTGAGATGAGACTACCTGAGCTGAAGATTCTAGCTCCCTTGATGGCTCCCTGGAGCGAGTCTCATGTGCCTCCCCACACAGCAGACCTTGAGGGGACAGGCAGCCCTGCACTGCTAGCATGGAGCCCACAGGGATATGGTCCCTCGAGAAGACTGGGGGACAGGATCCCACCCTCATTACCAAGAGCCTGAGGAGTGCTCAGCTGCCCTCTCCGCACACAGCCCCACTCCCTGCCCCTTCCACACACGGCGCCCGTTACCTTCAATGATCCCCCACTTGGTCTTGCGTCCCAGAATCCTCTTCCCATTGACCTGATGCTCCTGATCTGCTCCTACCACAGCAAAGGGGATTTTGTCCTGCATGACGAGATGGAGGCAGAATCGTTCTAGAGATGTCCTGGCACTGCCACCCAGGGCAGACCCCTCACCAGTGCTGCCATCCTGCTGGCGGGCACTGCAGCCCAGGTCCTGCCTGCTCAGGATAGGTGAGGTCACACACACACACACACACACACACACACACACACACACACACACACGGTCCACCCCCATCCCTGCCCCTTGCCCTCAGCCTACCAGCACTCACTCGAATTTTATCGTTCAATATCCTCTCGTCTGGGTCCTCCTCAAAGTCCTCCTGTGGGTAGATGCTGATCCCATGAGCCTTCAAGTCCCTCTGGATCTGCAGGAGATAGAGTGCTGGAAACAGCTCTGGGCAGATGATGGACCTGGCTCTCTTCTACACTGAAGCTCCTGACAGTCTATGATCTTGCCTGCTGCTGACACCAGCCACCTTTGGGATGGAGAGTGGCCTCCACTGAACAGTATACAGTGACACCGCACAAATGCGTAGTGCTGTAGTAGCTGATTTTTCCAGGGGAAATTTGGGGTGGCTGGGGTGAATGACAGCTGGAGCTGGTATCTGGCTAGGACACAAGGGTACTCAGCCTCACCTGGCTGTCAGAGGCTGTGGGATGTTTAAGCACCCACAAGTGGATGCTGCCTTTTTGCCCACTGCTATCAGAGCCTTGCCATAATGTGCAAGGCACTAGGGTTGCTTTGACCGCAGGAAACCCAGGAGTGCCTTAAGCTGCTGGCCTTAGCAGGAGGCAACTAACAACACACAGCAGCTCTCCTGACCCAGTTGTTTGGGGCATGAGCTGAGTGCACTGGCCCTGCCCGGTGCCTTTCACATGGCCAGCTCACCAGGAGGGACATCTCCCACAGACAACACCCCTCCTTGGTCAGCCTCTGAGGCAGGGGTGCTTGCCCTGTTGGATGGCCTTGGAAAGTCCCCCTTTGTCCTGCTGAGGCCTCTCACCCGCTGCTTGAACT